CATTCCACCATCCTTCCCTTCACTAGGGTGTTGGGGAGAAGAATCACTACATTTGTTGTATGTCTGACAAGATAATATAGTAATGTTTATGGCATTTCTAATGCATTTTTCTTAAAGTAACAAGAACAACTGTTTTTCCCTCCAGGTGATATATGCTGTAATTCAGGAAATAAATTTTCTCATCAGTTTGTGTGTACCAAATAAAATCTAACAAGATGAATGACATAACAGTGTCAAGGAACATTGGAACCATCTCACTAGAAAAAGGAATTTTTGCTGAGGGTATTGTATGCTGTATGTCTATAAGCCAGTGTGTTTATTTTTTTATGAAGAGGCAAAGGACAACATTTATTATTAGTTTAGGCTTGTTTAAAAACAGCAACAGCAGAAGAAACAGAACAAAGACTGATCATAGCATAAAACTCCCCCCTCCCCATTTATTTTTATAAATCAAGAACCTTCGTACTGGAGTCAGTCCTGCTGTTAGTGGTCTGGGTGAGATCAGGTTCACACTTTTTTTTGGGGGGGGGAGGGAATTCAGGTAGGGGAGAGGTTCCATAAGGACCAAATTAAGCCGTGATATAAGTGGTGGTGAAAGTTGATCAGAAAAAAAGTGTAAGTCAAAATAGTGTAATGTGCACCAATTTTGCATGCCCTGGTTGTACAAAATAGGTGGAATAGGACTTACTAGGTGAGTGAAGATAAGTAAGGCCCAGCAGGAACACCACATTGGTTCAAGTTACATTGCTTACCATATGTATCCATTTTCTGATCAGTTTATGCTATCATTTATATCACTGTAGAATTTGGCCCAGAGAATTCTGTAGAATATGCATCTAGTAGCCTGGCTAAGGGGATCTCTACAAAGCAAATGCACTCTAGAGGGGGTATTGTTGGTCTCCTCGCTGGAGAAAACTGATCACGGTACTCTGCTTTGATGGGGAAGATACACTCCTTCAAATGCAAGAGGATAATATTCCCCCCGGAGGATGCTATGTGCAAATATAGTACATCCCATCTTTGATATTGAGAGTTCATTTTCATTTAAAAATGATGCTACTCTTGTCCAACAAAGGCTAACTTGCAGATAAGAAAACTGCTACCTACGTAGGCATTAGTGAACAGTTCCGCCTAAGAAATCACCAATCTACTGCTTTTAGCACTCAGAATTTTCCTGGCATGTCTCCCATTTTAAAAGTCCAGTCCTACTAACAATGAGTTTTGCCTGTAACTTCAATGGGAGCCAGATGTGGTGGTACATACTGGTCACTTTAATTGTTCTTCCGCACAAGCCACACCATTTAAAAACTATAAGATGAAACATAGGGTATTAAAAATGGTTATAGTGTATTTTGATGTACTCTGTTAAGCAATACTCTTAATAGGAAATTTAAAACCAAGAGTTAAAAATAAATCTTACAACTTGTTTTAATGCTCTCTCCAAATTTTTCTCTACTTTTGACACAAGTTTGTATGTATGTGCTCATGTGTGCACCAATGAAGAGGACTACAATACTCTTTTAGCAGATAATAAATGAAGACAGAATCTGAAATGGGTATGAAGAAACCTCATCACTGACTAGGTTGTCTTGCTTTAACTGCCCAATCACTGACAAAACAGGACATGATACGGTGTGCAGTCATCATAACCTTTTATACAAGATCATTTCAGTTTAAGATCCCTGCTTCCCAGGTTTTATTTCTGCTTCAATGCTCTGATTGTTTACCTCTGAAGAATAACTTCATAGGGCACATTATACACTTGAAGAGAATAGTGAAAAAATATGAATTAATAGTTTTGTCACTGAAGTATTTATTTGTTAGACTGTCTTTTTAAAAACTTTTCTACTGAACTTTCAATTTTTTATTTTTATTTTTTTCGTCTTAAACTAATTGCTTTGTTTTGTCTGTTCTGCTTTTCTTTATCTTTGTTCTTTATCTATGTTGGAGTAACTAGATTTCTAGAAGACTTTGTACTTCATAGCAGTTAATCTTTGCAGTAGTCTCAAGATTGTTAGGCCTATACATTGACTTATAGTAGCCCGACAGTTTTTTTTATGCTAAAGGCTTTCCCTGAAGAATTCTGAAATGCAGGATTTTTTCCAGGCTGTCCTTGCTCTCTCCTGTCCCTCTCGTCCTGCAGATCTCGTAAATGCTGTGTGAACAGGGCAGAGCTTTCTTTTTAAAAACCTCAGGAGGGCTGTGGGTGGGGATTGGGTGAGAGCCCGTGGTTTGGGTGGTGGCTATTCACTGGAATCCTGTGGATCCCATGAGGTGTACAGGAGAGAATCCTCAGTGAGTTTTAAGAGTGTGTGATGGCAACAACCCTCCTAGAAAGTTTAGTGAAGGAATAGGAGCCCTCCCTACTATGCTTAAGGAGGCTAGTTTCCAGCCCTTGTGTGTGATCTGTTAGTTGAAAAGATTCTTCTGATTTCATTGACAAGTTTCCATGGCAGTTGGGTTACATGTTGAGATGTATACCTCTGCAAGAAAATGTCCTAGAGACTTCTTTCATTTAAAAAACAAAACAAAAACAAAAAACTTACAGGCCAAATCCTTCAGTGCTGAGGTATGGGTGAACAACTTTAAATATAAATATATGGAGATACACCTATCTCATAAAACTGGAAGGGACCCTGAAAGGTCATCGAGTCCAGCCCCTGCCTTCACTAGCAGGACCAAGAACTGATTTTGCCCCAGATCCCTAAGTGGCCCCCTCAAGGATTGAACTCACAAGCCTGGGTTTAGCAGGCCAATGCTCAAACCACTGAGCTATCCCTCCCCCCATTTGGTGTCTGTATCAAATTAAGTGGAGCCAATGTTTTGTAGCAACATTGCTAATAATTTTGAGTTTTGAAATTGTATTTTAATAAACTAAACTTTAGTACTGGACACTATCTATTAGCTAGGGGAATCCAGTAAACTCAATCCTGTCCTGTCTTTGGGGGATAAGGGTTTTTTTTGGGGGGGGAGAGGGGTTTTGTGTGTGTGTGTGTTACAAAGTGGCAAAAGTTAAACTTCTTGAATGGTGGTGAACACCTCTCTTCTTAGAGTGTCAGAATTCATGAACTCCTTTTCAGTTCTTTTCAAATGTCTTGAGATTTTTTTTAAAAAAGTGCCTAATTTGGGGGGAGAGAGGTATGAATTTGAGAGGAGGGCTAAAACTGGACTTATAATAGAAACTCAAGTTCAACCTTAACTATATAGTGGCTACTGTTCTCTAATAACAATACGAGAAAGAGGAGATGGGAGAGCCCTCAAATGTAGGGACAGATTCTGTCCCTTGCTCCCACCACTATATATCACTCTGGCAGCATATAGGGGCTGTAGTTGGCTGGAGGAGCATTCCCTTGGCACAGCATAAGGCTGCTGTAGTTATCATACACTACCTATCCCTTACAAGCCTCAGGGCAAGAAGGGATAGAATCATAGAATATCAGTGTTGGAAGGGACCTCAGGAGGTCATCTAGTCCACCCCCCTGCTCAAAGCAGGACCAGTCCCCAACTAAATCATCCCAGCCGGGGCGTTGTCAAGCCTGACCTTAAAAACCACTAAGGAAGGAGATTCCACCACCTCCCTAGGTAACCCATTCCAGTAATGCCATGACACATGATACTGAGGGGATTCTGGGCTAACATAAATTAGAGCAGCCATGTGCTGCTCTAACTTATGCTGTAGGCTGCTCTGGGGGCCCAAATATCCTATCTGGGGAATGCAAAGATGGCATAAAGCCATCTTTTCCCTACCCTTCCTATATCCTGGGCTGCACATTCTGTGCTGTGCATCTTAGAGGCACAGCACAGAAATGAAGCTATTGCCAAGAGATTACATCTTGTACAACAGTCAAGTTGGATGAGTCTGTCATTTCAGGGGTTTACACTTCATGTGTGTGGTGTGGTGTTCTTTCAACAAGCGGTTTAGAAGCAACACGAATATAAAGGATTTCCTTCAGTGCAGTGTTGTGCATTAAATTTGATTGGTATTGTGAAACAGGTTTCCTCTTTATTTTGGTTTATTCTATGTAAATATTTTTGTAATTAACTTTTAGGTTTTAAAAATTTTAGTTGAGTTATTTTATAGGGAGCATTGGTTTTGCTGTGCAGTTATAATAATTGTAATTTCTCTATGTGCTACAGTCTGCAGTTTACTCAGATGAAGAATGCTTGCAAATAGGCTAGGAAGAATTGCAGTATAAACTATTTAAACCTGTTTTGTTTTAATAACTTGCTACTTGTGGTCTGGAATCCTGATTCTTGGTACCAAGGTATTAATGTTGCAATAACTGGTGACTGCTTAGTTCTATGACAAGTTATAATTTTGTTGTAACTTAATCCTTTTTAGCGTATTTTGTAGAAATGACTAATATTGATATTCTCCTTTCCACTTGGTTTCTATAATTAAATAACTATTCTTTGGAGACAATTCATAACTAAAATTTGTATGCATATGTTTATGAGCCAGGACTCTTAGATTCTACTTCCTGGTATACCACAGACTTTCTCTGTAACCCATAATAGTTATCTAGCATCACCAAAAAAAACCTGTGCATGAAACACACAATGCAGGGGCACAGATTGGTGTTCATATGAACATCATGGGATATGTATGTGCAAATTCCAACTTGCATGTGTGCACTGAGGGTTGCATGCATCCAGGCAAGTCATGCATAAGTTGTTTTGAAGATGTAGGCCCTAACTTCTGAATAACTCAAGGAATAGTGAAAATTGGTTTTTTTTAGGTTAGAAAGTGGAAGGTACTATGAGTGCTAAGTAATACTATTATAAGGTTGCATCAACCATGATAATTGTGGCTAACAAGTGCAGTGGATTGACCCTTGGACAGAATCAAAAGATTAATTTGAAGTGGATATACAGCTTATGATTATTTTGAAATGTGAAGATATTGTTTCTTTTTAAGAAGGAAAAGAAAATTAAAGGAGGAGTTGTATTCCTGCCAGAGGAGACTACCTCCTTTCACCGCCTAAACCCCTTTTGATCAGGGTATCCTCCTTGCTGCTGCACATCACCTCTCCCAAGCAAGATGACTCCTCTGCAGTTGTGCTGCCATTAACTGGCTGCCTTTCAGCCAAGCCTGTGTCCTATCCATTCCTCTGGGGAAACAGCATGAAGTGTCTTTTCTTGCAGAAATACCACAAGGTATAGTGTGGCTACTCTCTCCCTCTGTCCCAAAATATCATTCTGACCTGCAGAACTGCAACAACATGGTGCTCAAGAGGGACTTCCACAAGCTCAGGGGAGATGGGGATGCATCATTTTGTTTTGGCTCTGCTTCTCACTTCTTCTGTACACTAATGGTCCTTTGTATATTTCTTTTTCCTGCCTTTTTTGTTCCCTACCGCACATCACAGGAGAGGGGAACATAGGACCCAAATTCTTTTGATAAACACTGCCCTTAGACTCTCTAAAGAGCACTGCAAGCTAAATACCAGATCAATGTAGAAGTGGTCTTTTTTTCAGCAAATAAAATTTCAAGCACTACAGCAGAAAACAACAAAATAATCTAAATTATTAGTAATTTCCAGCCCTATCTACCATTGCTCAACTTGTCAGCAAGAGAGTGCTATTTATTCTTCACAGGTTGTCAAAGTTGATTAAATTACTGCAGATGAGACTGTTCTCCCACAAGATTTTAATCAATGAAATACAGGTTCAAATAATGTCTTCTGTGGTTTGACATCATTGTGACTGTCTTAAGAAGAATCAATGGAAATGATAAGGATGATTTACCCCTGCCTAATTAATAACATTATCAGTTCACAGGCACTGACTGCCTTTTTTTTTTTTCTTCTCCATCTGTCACATTTCATTTTTTTCAAATTGATTTCCTTTTACTGTAAACTGTTTACATGTTCCAGGCTTCAAATGCTTGAATATCCCTAGAGTTTCTCTCATCCAGAATATTAAGTAACTAATAAATATATTTACATTAAAGTGGAAAAATCATTTTAAATAGGTCCCTTGGGAGTATTATAAAGTTTGAACTTGAATTGCTATTAATACTAATTTTAAAAATTTCTTCTCTTCATTCCAAAAACAACATAAAAACTTACTCCTATTTGTATGAACTTCCCATGATGATAGTGTACCAATTTTACATGTGTGCACATTTGCGTATGTGCACTCAGCTGTTTACAAAGGTATTGTTTTTGTTTTTTTTATAGATGATCCATAGAGTTTTATGCCTATAGGCAGCTCTTCCTCTCCACTAGCATTTGCTCCAAAAGTCAGAGGGCCTGATTCTGGTTTCACTTAAATGGATGTAAATCCAGGAGTAACTCCATTGATTTCAGTGAAGTTAGTGTGTAAAAACCAGTATTATAGGAAAATTGGTCTAAAGTTTCCTAACAACATGACCTGAAAGTAATCTGTTTGTTCAGGCTTTCCCTAAAGGGGTAAGTCGAGTTGGGGGATTGGGGGGGGGGGGGGGGGGGGAAGAGATATTTTATTTCCTTATAGTTGTGTAATATATTTACTTAAAAACTCCTAGAGACTATTATATGATGCTATAATTAGAAAATATCTACAGTATACACACGTATATTAGAGCAGTAAAGGCTGAAATGCGAAATAGAGTTTAAAAAATGGGTGTTGAGTATTACCAAGGTCTTTTTGATTTTTGTTTAACTCAGCTGCATGAATCCAAAGAGCAATGTGATTAGTTTAGCTAGAGCATTCTTAGGTCTGTGCTGCAGAGCTGATTTACTTGGGGCTTGTCTACACATAATTTTTGCATTGATCCAACCATAGTGGTTTATAAATCCATATAATTAAATCAGTGCAACCCTCAGTGCAGATGCAGTTTATATGAGTTCTTCTGATATAAAAATCTTACAATAGCATAGCTTGTTTCTAAACCAATATAGTTAGATTGGTACAAAAACTATGTAGAGCAGCCGGTAATCTTCATCTAGAAATGTTGCACAGGCAACCTTAATTCTGGCATTTCCTAACTTTTGAGTGCTTGACTTTGTAAACTTAATGTTCTTTTAACTTAGTTTTGTGGAGATATAAAAATAAAATCAGGGATATGATTAATTGGTTAGTGGTCCATGGATGAAGGCTGGTCATATGGTACTATCTCTTCTTTCCAGCTAAGAGAATCTGAGTAAATGGGATGGGGAGAAAAAATAAAATATCAAAAGTAGAATAATTGGTTCCAAAGAATCCCAAAATACTTATCACTGTTATACCAAATAAAAATCCATAAACTCTAGAACCATAGGGTTGGAAAGGATTACAAGGGTCATCTAGCCTAACCTCTAGTCAAGATGCAGGTTTTGTTGTGTTTAAACCATCCCAAGCCAGATGCCTATCCAGTCTCCTTTTGAAAACCTCCAGTGAAGGAACTTCCACAACCTCCCTAGGCACTGTGTTCCATTGTCCTACTGTTCTTACAGGTAGGAAGTTTTTCTGTTTTCTTCTTCTACATAAACAATTCCATGAAGAAATTAGATGGTCACAAATGGAAGGGGAAGTCCTCAATTACACCTGTGCAAACTCACTTAGGGTACACAAATGTAATTTAGGGTATAATCTGTAGACCGTGGAGCTACACAGGTACAACAGAGGGCCTGATTTGTCCTGCAGAATCTTTAACAGATAGTTATGCAAGAGGTGGAAAGAGAAGCTTAGGGTGAGTTTGCAGAGCTGACTGTTAAAGAAAACATCTCTTTACTTGCAAATTTAAGATGGAAATCAATGAAAATGGAACCCCATGATGCCAATCTAAAGTACATTTTAGGGTAGAAATGCAAGATAAAAGAAGAGGAAACTTTGGCAACTCTTCAAACTACTAAAATCACGATAGGGCTGAGAATGATGGGAAGAATTAGAACTGCATATAAAAACTGTACACTGCATGCACAAGTAGGAATGGCTGCTGTTAAGATAATTCCCCCCTCCCCCCCCCAAAAGAGATCTTTCTTCAAAGTATACTATTTCTTTCATAGGACATAATCTCTAAATGCTAATAGAGAGCTACCGATTATAGCTTTTACTTACATGGATAGTCATTTTGAAGCTGATAGGTCTATGTGAATAAGAGTTTACAGGATTGGACCTATAATCTTAACGTAAAATTGAATGTGTGCAGTTAGAAATGATAGTGAACAAATAAAGCTGTGTATTGTATAATATTTGCATTTGTGGGTCAATTGGCCAAGGAAATAGTCTCTCAGACCAATGACGTCAATCTAGACAAGATACAGAATGCATGTTTTAAATATGCACTTTACCTATTTTTAATTACTTCTTATCTTGTGCATGGTTCCACACTTTAAAAGTGATGGTTTTCAGTAAAGCAAACCAGTGCTCAGGTCACTTTTAAAAGCCTTGCTCCTGGTTTTGCTTTTTTAATTGGAAAAGAAAATTTAAAAGATACTTGGCTGCAAGTAAAGTTGTAACACAGCAAGGCTCACACTTTTGTAATAAAATCTGAATATTTAATAGTTTGGGTGTTTGTCCTCTGTGACTGGCATTTTTCAGTAGAACATATAAAGAAAATAAAAAGCAACAGGCACCTTTAAGACTAACAGAAGTATTGGAGCATAAGCTTTCGTGGGTGAATGCCCACTTCATCAGACGCAAGTGGGCATTCACCCACGAAAGCTTATGCTCCAATACTTCTGTTAGTCTTAAAGGTGCCACAGGACCCTCTGTTGCTTTTTACAGATTCAGACTAACACGGCTACCCCTCTGATGAAAGAAAATAAACTAAGACAAATCACTAAGACTAGCAGCTGAAAATGGAATATTAATTTCAAAGTTGTGGTCAAACATCCAATTTCAAATCTGCTTTTAAAAAATATGTTGTGCTTAACAGTCAAAGCCTTTTCCTACATGAAACTGGTGTTGGATCCAGGTGTATTAAAGTCAGACTAGCTGACCACCGTCATCATTCCTGGCTCTCCAATCTATAAATAACACTTTAAAAATATAATTTAAACTAAACCTCTATTAACCATGTATGTGGGCCTCAACAGGATATTTCACTAAGGGCCCTCCATTGCCATTGAAGTCCGTGAAAACTGAGGGTGCTGTCTTCAAGCATATCTAGTATTAGTTAAGTCTTTCAACATCCTTCTGAAGTAGGTGGTGATCTCCCAGTATTACAGATGGGTAAACTGAGGCACAAAAAAGATTAAAGCCTAACTTTCAGAAATGCTGAGCACAAGTCTAGGGATCAGAATGAAAATACAAAGGTGATGGTACTCTTCCAGGCTCTGCATGTGAAACAAGTTCCACTTGCATAATACTCTCTGGGCGTGGCTGACTCTCTTTGGAGTCTGAATATATCCATGGGCTCTGCTGGGCTCCTCGTGGTTGGCTTCCCCTCAGAGAGGCTGGGTTTCTTAAACTTGTCATCTCCCCTTTGGGGGCACCTCAGCTGCTCTGCTGAGCTCCTTGTGTTTGGGTCCTTCTTGTTAGAGGGGGTGGGGAAATGTGACAGTTCTGTTACTGGTGGTGCAAATAGCTTGTTTTCCAGTGAGTCTGGGAAGTAATTTAAAATGAGAAGCACTTGAAAAACCCTCAGCCTTTGAATAAGTAAAAAAAAAAAAAGTTTTGGAAATGAATATGATACTTGTCAATGGTTTCTGAGGCTTTGTAATTTGGCTAAATCAACATAATTTTTTAAGGGGGGAGGGTACATCTGATTGTGGGTGGGAGTGACTCTGACACTGGTTGACCTTAGTTGGGAAAGTCATTTAAACACTCTGTGCCTCAGTTTATCCATTTATAAATAAAACAGAGGATACATGGTATTTATTAATAATTGAAAATATCTTTCGAGACTTTCTGATGGAGTTGCATTGCCTGGGACAACTGTGGCCTGGGCTGTGTCTGTGTTTTCTCCTTTAAGGATAAGACTGAAATCAGTCAAAGTCACCTTGACCTTGCCCTGAAAGATTTTGTTTCTAGGGCTGCTGAATCTCTCCCTCAATCACCCCCTGAGTTTTCCCCCATCAGGCAGCACCTTCTGATTACTGTAATATTGCTGTTGTATGCCTGCTGTTTCTGTATAAGGAAACCATACTAAATGATAACTAAAATAACCTATTTTGATTTGTGAAAGGGGTGGAGAGGATGAGTATTTTCAGGACCTAATGTATGATAAGAAAAGCATAATAATTATTTCT